TGGGCAGGCAGGGGAGCAGTTAGGCATCAATCAGGCTGGCAGGGGAGTGGTTAGGGGGTGATCAGGCTGGCAGGCAGAAGCAGTTAGGGGCAATCAGGAAGGCAGGCAGGCGAGCAGTTAGGAGCCAGCAGTCCTGGATTGTGAGGGGGGTCCCAGATTGGAGAGGGTGCAGGCTGGGCAGAGATACACACACACACACACACATACACACACACACTGCACAAATTTTGTGCACCGGGCCTCTAGTACTGAATAATTGGGACCTCCACTAAATTCCATGGAGATCTTTTTTCTCCATTAAACTGTGTGTTAACGATTCTCAAAATTCTGTGACAGATTTCTGGTCAAGTTTTTTTTAGAAAAAAACTAATAACTTTAAAACATACACACAAACACACACATACACACAAAAAAGAAGAAAAAAAACACAAAAACAACAAAGAATGGTCCACAAAACATTCTTCTTTCCTTCTGAAGGATTTTATGATGCATTGTAATCATCAACCAGACTTTTATTCCAAAACTTAAATGGCCGATTGAGACAAACAGTTCTGAGACCGTTCTTCCACCACTGATTAAGACTGGGGTGGCAGGTATTGGGATAATATTTATTTAGCCTTCTGAGCTTTCTGGGTAAACCTGTGACTTTCCCAGCTCCAGCTGCCTTCTTGCCCACTGCTCTGGGGATGCCCACAGAAACTGTCTCACATTGCGAACAGCAAAACAGCCCAGAGGAGGGTAGTCAGAGAAGCTCTCAGCACACATGGCCTTGTCAGGAACCATACCAGTGATGACAGCATCACCAGATTTCAGAAACTTTGGGCCATCTTCCAGCTTTTTCCCAGAAGGATGATCAATCTTCTCAGCTCAGCAAATTTGTGAGCACTGTGAGCTGGGTAACAACCCAGCACAGGTGCATATCCAGCACTGATTTGGCCTGGATGGTTCAGGGTAATCACCTGAGCTGTGAAGCCAGCTGCTTTTAGTGGTGGGTCATTTTTGCTGTCACCAGACACGTTGTCAGGAGAAACATCTTTGACAGACACATTCTTGACAATGAAGCCCACAGAGTCCCAGATGAGCTTCATTCAAAGCTTTGTGTTGCATTTCAACAGACTTTACTTCAGTTGTAGCATTGACTGGAGCAAAGGTGACCACCATGCCATGTTTAAGACCACCATTCTCCCCTCAGCCCACAGAGACAGTACTAATAGCACCAATTTTATTGACATCCTATAGCAGTGATGGCGAACCTTTTGAGCTTGGCGTGTCAGCATTTTGAAAAACCCTAACTTAACTCTGGTGCCGTGTCACAT